GAGCTGAAAGAAGGGGCTAGGAGTGGGCAGAGAACAATGGTGGTGAAGTAGAGACATATGGAGAGGGGGTGAGGAGCAGCACGAGAGAGTACAGAGAATGTGCCAGGAGAACAGGCGGGCACAGGGCAGGTTTAAGGGATTCAGAAGACTCATGCACTGATTTGAGAGCCACCATCCATGAGTAGGGGGGATCTCAAGCAATGCAATTGCTCCAAGCCTCCAGTCCCTTCATCTGTGAAATTCTGGGATCATGAAGCTGGCTTCACTCCCTGTGATTTCCTTCAGAGAAAGCACAGTGGCTTTTCTCCTTTATTCCAGGCACAGGCACCCTGCACAGTCGCACACTGCAGGTTCTCGTTTGATATTTGTGCATTACAAGAAAGGAGAAAGGATGAGCAACCACTTTATAAACTGTAAAGTCCTGGGCAGATGGTAGGGCTGCCTTTGTTTCTCAAGACAGACTGGGGAGCTTCTGAAGGGGGAATACTTTCTTCCTCACTTTGCCTTTCCAGCCCCGAGTCAGTGTCCTGAATTCACTCAACCCAAGAAAACGTTCGCCAAGCATGTCCTATGTGCTGTCAAAATGCCAAAAGCTGGAAGCAGACAGAGAACAAGACCCAGACCCTGCAATCCAGGGGAGGAAAGCTGATGTTCAGGAAAGTGAAATGGTGCTTCTGGAGACAGAAGAAATGTCCTCAGGGAGAGGATCAGACTTGACTATGCCAAAGCCCAGCCTTTCCTGAAAACCATAATGATAATCAACACCCATAGTGACAGCTGCAGAGGGTGGTCACCTGTGTCGCTGGCTGCTATGTGAGCTGGACTGAAAGACACTCAGAAATGCTTTCATTTTCAGGGGTTGGCACAGCCACAGCCACTGCTCCCCGCTTGGGCCTAGCTCATTACAGGCATCACAGAGGAAGCTCCGTATCTGTGGGTGTGACGGTGTATGATCAGTGAAAGATGTTATCAGAAGAAAAAAAAATTAGGCACATTTTCCCCTAGACTTACTAATCCTTCCTCTGCAATTACCCTCATGTTTTGACATTAATTGAACTCTGTCTTTACTACTAAAAATAAACTCCAGGGCAATTGCAATGCACCAAAAACCTCAATATGAAACCACAAGAAACAGTAATAGAGAAATGGGCCAATACCAAAGGTGTTTTGAGAAGATATTTCTGTTTCAAGTGTAGAGTTCCGAGTGGGCCGAGAGTTCTTTAAAATCCTGTGGACATCAAGTACAGGAAGCAATCTTTACACACACACCTTGTGGCGAAAGACTGGTGCCGGCTTGTATCCCTTGACAGGGAAGCGGGAGCCTGCTGATGCGGTTTCAACAAAGGCCAGGGGGCCAGCACGGCCAGTGTGGCAGTATCAGGCAGGGAGCCAGCAGATGACACCAGGGGGAGGCAAGGCCAGGAGAGGAGTCCAAAAGAGCAAGTGAGGGTCTAAAGGGAAGAAGCCCATCCTGTCTGCACATCCAGGGAGTAGGGCCAGCGGTGAGCAAGAATGACACTGAGAGGGTCAGGAGCTAGACAGGTCAGGAGCTGGAAGGAGAAACAAACAGGCTCCCATTCATTGCCCATTTCCTCGGGCAAGATTCCGTTATCCTCACAAGCAGACCAAGTGGCTTCTGGTCCATGATGTGGCTGGGAAAATTGAAGTCTGGCTGGGTGTGTGGTGTGTGCCTGTAGTACTAGCTACTCAGGAGGCTGAGGTGGGAGGATCGCTTAAGCCCAGCAATTGGAGGCTAGCCTGGGCCACATAGCTAAGTCCCTGACTTTAAAAAAATTAAAAAAAAAAAAAATTTTATGTGTGTTTTGAGACAGTCTTGCTCTGTCGCCCAGGCTGGAGCGTAGTGGCACGATCTTGGCTAACTGCAACCTCTGCCTCCTGGTTTCAAGTGACTCTTGTGCCTAAGCCTCCCAAGTAGCTGGGATTACAGGTGTGTGCCACCATGCTCAGCTAATTTTTGTATTTTTAATAGCAACAGGGTTTCACTATGCTGGCCAGGCTGGTCTCGAACTCCTGGCCTCAAGTGATCCGCCCACCTCAGCCTCCCAACATGCTGGAATTACAGGCGTGAGCCACTGTGCCTGGCAAGAATTTTTTTTTTTTTTTTTTTTTTTTTTTAAAGAAAGAGAGTAGTTTGACAAGCTGTAAAAGACTCACCTAGAGTCACATAGGCAGTGGTAGGTGGACCCTGGGGTAGACCCTAAGTGTCTGGCTCTGTTCCTGGTACCTTTGCTGCATGGCAGGCAACAGTCCTGACTCATGGGTGGGAAAGGTGGGGATGGCCTCCAATTGGTGTGCGTCCCAGCCAGGCTGATTTCTAGGCAGGTACAGACAGGCAGGCTCCCAGTGCGAGAAGTGCCTTTAGGTCAAGTAGAACTGCAGGCACAGACGCAAATGCCTGGGCCTTTCTTCAGGTTCTGTCATAGAACAGACTGCCTGAGGCTGTGCTCAGGACTGCGGGCCTCAGAAACCCAGCACTTGCCCCTGCTCTGTCTTTCTGCTCCCAGCAGCTGAATTCTAGGGAAATGTCTCTCCGTCACCCCACCCCGAGACAGACCCGCCAAGCTTTTGGCTTTCAGATTCTCTGCCACATGACTGAGGTCCCATCAGCCTTTTTCCCCAATGTGTGAATAGCTTATTCCAGCCCCTCCAGGTGCAACAGGGCATGGGGATCAGCTGGAAAGGCTGCTGCCCCTGTACGCTCTCCTGCTCCCTAAGCCTGCCTCAGGAGCATCGGCTCCCAAGACATCATTCAATGACTGTCCCTGAGGGTCAAAAAGAGCTACAAGGCAGAGGTGGGTGGATCACGAGGTCAGAAGATCGAGACCATCCTGCCTAACACGGTGAAACCCCGTCTCTAATAAAAATACAAAAAAATTAGCCAGGCATGGTGGCGGGTGCCTAAAGTCCCAGCTCGGGAGGCTAAGGCAAGACAATGGCTTGAACCCAGAAGGTGGAGCTTGCAGTGAGCTGAGACTGCGCCACTGCACTCCAGCCTGGGCGACAGAGCAAGATTCCATCTCAAAAAAAAAAAAAAAAAA